GTTATGAAAAACGTTAATTAATCCATTGTTATTTCATAATTTCATTAGAGACGCACAGCGCTTCACATGGCAGCCGAAGGAGGCTATGTCCAGATAGCGGAGGTTCTCATTGCCGCAGGAGCGACTATCAACGCAAAGGATGAAGTAAGTTAATGCGATTTGGAGCCTACAACGCTGCCAGGGTCATTTATTTTATTTCCATATAGAGAATATAGTTACTATTTAAACGACTAAGTCTTTTAAACGACAATGCAGCGAGTAATTCATACGAAGGCCCACAACGACACTTCCACAGCGCGCTTCCAAGGTACCTTCCATAGCGCGATTCTGCGAACCTTCCACAGCGCGATTCTGCGAACCTTCCACAGCGCGATTCTGCGAACCTTCCACAGCGCGATTCTGCGAATCTTCCACAGCGCGATTCTGCAAACCTTCCACAGCGCGATTCTGCGAACCTTCCACAGCGCGATTCTGCGAACCTTCCACAGCGCGCTGCCAAGGCACCTTCCATAGCGCGATTCTGCGAACCTTCCACAGCGCGCTGCCAAGGATATACCTTCCATAGCGCGATTCTGCGGACCTTCCACAGCGCGCTGCCAAGGGCCTTCCATAGCGCGATTCCGCGGACCTTCCACAGCGCGTTGCACCGAGGCCCTACAACCCCTCCCCTATTTTAGCGGACGGTCCCTTATAGCCAGCTCAGATACTGCACAAACGTAATCAAATTTCAACCCCTATTAAAAGGGAAATGATTTATTATATTAAGTACGAATTTGTTGTGTTCTATTTTCTTTTCCTAGCGCACTGGACCAAGGATTCTTTGTAGGCTATTCTCAACATTTTTTTTACTTTGTGTGACTCAAGAAGTATAATTACTAGTAATAAAGATCATAGGTCTAACATGACATTGTTTTTTATCATCTCTAAATCTATTCAGCATGAAGAGTATTCTGCCCTTATGGGTTACCTGTCAGAATGTATCCAGATGTCTGTATCATAGAAAACTTACAAAAATGAAACACTTCACTCTTTCTTTTACAAAATTTTATTGATCCTTAAAAGCAACATTTTGCATGATATGAAGGTGTATTTCTTTAATTAACACTACTAGTAGGTTTAATTGATTTTTTTCTTGCTTGAAGCTAGAAAGAAAGATGTGTCCTTTTCTTGCATAAACGAGTATTGTCTTTACTAATGTCACTGTTAGGACTTCAATATCTCTTTTCGTACACTGCTTTGTTTTTTTCCACTATGTACAGCTTGTACTTTCAAACTTGTAAGTAAAGTTGTGATTGTTTGAAATAAATTTCTTCATGAGCGTTCAAATTTAAACATTCAGACGGTAAATACGATTTGTACCATACTTAAACTTAGAAACTGTGGTCTTCCCCAACAATGTATAGGGGACCGTCCGCTAAAATAGGGGAGGGGTTGTAGGGCCTCGGTGCAGCGCGCTGTGGAAGGTCCACGGAATCGCGCTATGGAAGGCCCTTGGCAGCGCGCTGTGGAAGGTCCGCAGAATCGCGCTATGGAAGGTACTAGTATATCCTTGGCAGCCCGCTGTGGAAGGTTCGCAGAATCGCGCTATGGAAGGTATATCCTTGGCAGCGCGCTGTGGAAGGTCCGCAGAATCGCGCTATGGAAGGTGCCTTGGCAGCGCGCTGTGGAAGGTTCGCAGAATCGCGCTGTGGAAGGTTCGCAGAATCGCGCTATGGAAGGTGCCTTGGCAGCGCGCTGAGGAAGGTTCGCAGAATCGCGCTGTGGAAGGTTCGCAGAATCGCGCTGTGGAAGGTTCGCAGAATCGCGCTGTGGAAGATTCGCAGAATCGCGCTGTGGAAGGTTCGCAGAATCGCGCTGTGGAAGGTTTGCAGAATCGCGCTGTGGAAGGTTCGCAGAATCGCGCTGTGGAAGGTTCGCAGAATCGCGCTGTGGAAGGTTCGCAGAATCGCGCTGTGGAAGGTTCGCAGAATCGCGCTATGGAAGGTGCCTTGGAAGCGCGCTGTGGAAGTGTCGTTGTGGGCCTTCGTAAATTCAAGATTGCTACCCCATATGTCTTCCTTGTGATATTGAACGTTACTAGTATATAAGCACAGGTTGCTCATGATCAGTGAGTTTTAACCTTTGTTTTGCAGTTTTGTGAAACTCCGCTACACATCGCTGCCTCTGAAGGACAGTACCGCATGGTCCAGCTCCTTGGTTCCACACCTGGGGTGGACGTGTTAGCAAAGAATGATGTAGGTGTATATGCGCGGCACCAATAGGCCGTGTTTATGTGAAGTCACCCAAGGCGCTTTACATGTGGTTTACCCCGAAGCCGGTTTCAAGTGGCTCCATCTGAACGCTCCAAATCACATTGAAAGCGCCTCGATCCCAAGCCATTTCTAGAGGTGGTTTCGAATCGGTTTTCCCGCATCGCGATTTGCGTCTGAACGCAATGTGAATTCAATGTGACTTCACTTGGTCATGGATTACGGGGTGATATTTCTTAATTTATATGCAATACCAAATTTTACGTGGCAGCAACTTAAAGAGTAGTAATGGTCAAATAATGTGTCCGTTCTAGGACGAGCTTCACCGCCTCTGGCGGGACCACGTCGGTATTCGGCCGAGATACGCTGGGAGGGGGGCACCAGCAATCAGGTCGTTGACCTCTGACAATAATGACACGCTACCTAGCGTGTTTTCATCAAACAACAATGAATGTAGTTTCGGAGAATCGTGATCGGGCACGTTTTAAAAGGAATGTATGGCACGTGGACCAGATATGAGGAATGTGAGTTACCCGAATCGCGGTTTGGGTGACTTCACATAAACACGGCCTTAGGTGAATTGGACTGATCCCAAAAATACACGGAATTCCTTTTGTTCCCTGTAGTCTGTGTAGCCTCCTTCGCAGACTTGTTGGGGGGGCGGCATCATTTTTTCGAGGGAGTTTTTGCCATGCGGGAAACCTGCTCTCCATGGCAAAAACTCCATGGCAAAATCGTTCCTCCGCGGCATAACTCGCGTCGCTCACCGAAAAAAAATAATGCCGCCTCGCCCTACAAGTCTGCGAAGGAGGCTATTTCCGTGCCAGTGGGCACAATTTTAATGTAGTACATAATACTAAAACTATAATGGAAAGCCACAGACTGATTTTATCATTGCCTTTATGAATCATAGGACGGGAAGACTGCGTTAGAGCTGTCGGGGACAGATCAAATGATCCGAAGAGTACTGAAGGTACAGGACACCAATTCTTAAAACAATTATTGCAACACCATAGATTTAAGAGTAAAAGCACCCTTTCATTGAATTGAGTTGTTAAATTCGCTAATGACATGGCCATGTGAAATTGAGCACACCTATTTTCCAAGCTGACATTATTTCTTTGCGCGTGTTTGTTAGATACGAGAACAGCACCAGAGACAAAGTGAACTGATGGCGAGAACAGGAGGCGTGAAGATAAAGAGAAGGATCAAAGTGTTCGTGGTTGGTCACGGCAAGGTCGGCAAGACAACACTGATAAAGGCCCTAGAGAGGGTAAGCTCAGGTGATCGTTGGTGTAGGCAGTTTAAGTTACAGCCATGTGTATTTTGCTATTTATCTAATGTTTCTTGGTAATTGACTGTACGCTTGTTACAGCGTTTTCTCGGGACACTGTAATTTGTTAACTCGCACATCAGTGAAAGTGGAATGAATGAAACAGCCCTTATCAAATATTGATTGAAACATACATACAAAGCTACTCAGTTGCAATATATATTTTATATCACACCAGCTACAAGCATATTGGACGTAGATTTCAATCAAAGGAAAAAATAACCAACCTTGACAATCGTAAAGGAAGAATATTTGTAACATCTACATTCGTTTCCCCCCTCCTGCCTTTTGGTAGATACTGCCACCTATAAAGGAGTTACTGAAGAGAGATGTGGGACAACCTTATGTCCCCACCCCCGGGATAGACGTCGAGATTGTGAGGATCCCGGGGGTGGGGGAGGCAAGCGTGTGGGACTTCGCCGGACAGACCCAGTTCTACGTCACGCATGCCATGTTACTGGACGCTAGAAACACCATCTACATTGTGAACTACAAAAGCACGGAGGAGCCAGGTGTACAGAAGGAGCAGGTGTGGTATTGATGATTTTCTACGGCATGTCTATGACACGTGTGTTTCAACAACAACAACAACAACAAAAAGTAACAGATTTGATACCCCGTCGTTAAGACAGGCATTTACGGATGTGTTAATACCTATCTGAGGCTATCACATCTCCCATGTTCTGGGAACTGTCGTCCTTTCATGCTACATGTACGTTTGTCCTCCGCAGGTCCACCAGTGGCTGTGCAGCATCAAAGCCTGCAATGTCGACCCAAACAACCGCCCAGACGTGGTCCTCGTGGCGAGTCACGGCGACATGCTCGAGAACAAGGAAGGAGGTTTGTAGTTACTTAAACTACGTGCTTTCTGCTGGTGAGTTCTTTACAATTCCTTCAAGTTCTTGACGTCGAAACGGAGTAAACATCAGGTACATGTAGGTACTAGGCATTCATCGGTCTCTTAGGTGTAGTTAGTGGTGTATGGTGTAGTTAGTGTTCGGTTTTACGCCTGAGTTCTGATGCAGGTCTCTGCTTTTAAAAGTCCGGCAAATGTCCTTAATTACCCTGGCATTTAAAAATTTGGGATTGATGTTTCTTTCTAAAGGAAGAAGAGCTCAGAATATTCTGAGGGAGATGAGCGGCATGTTCAGGGCCCATCTGAACATAGCCGATGAAGTCATCGTCATGGACTGCCGGAAGTCGCATACGCATGAAATGACGCAGCTGAAGAAGTGCCTCCATAATCTGCATGCGGCACTGCTACAAGTGAGTCTAAATTTACTTATTTTCTATGCCGGGTGTAATTCAATTGGGTATCTCCCAATGGTTATACAATGCAATTCCAAAACATTCACAAAACCCCGAAACACTTACCAGAAATCTGAAATCTCCGATTTCATGTTTGGAGCAGAAGCAGCAAGACATGCCGAGGTTGTGTGCGGAGATCATCAAGCGCGCACCAGATTGGTGCAAAAGTAGATGCTGTCCCAAAGGCCCTGTGATGGACTGGGATACCTACAAACGCGCAGTGAAGGAGTTCAACCCAGCTGTGGAAGAGACTTTCCTACAGAAGTCAACAGAGCATCTTCACGACCAGGCGGAGGTACTGATATTCCCAACGTAATTGTGATACGAAGCATAGCCATAGTAGTGACATGTCAATGGGGTTATCTGATAACTTGTTTAACACAATTAAAAGATATTGTTCCCTTAGGACACATTGCTACAGCAACTCCATTATTTGCAGCTTTTCAATAAAAAGAGCATCCACTTGTAGTGTATGTACCTCCAGACGTTCCAGCATTCAGTTATATTTGTGCATCAGTTTCAATAGTTCGTATTTTTTAAAGTCAAAATAAGATATTGGAAAAATATAATTTAAAAGTAGCATTTAACCATATGCATGCGTAAGACAGTATTCATGTTTTTTCTTATTTGTTCCGGGAAGGTCATTATGGTTCACACTGGTGCCTCCTGCTCCGACAGCATCGTCATCCTCAGGCCTTCTTGGCTGGGCAAAGACGTCTTCGGCCCGACACTTGCACCGGAGGACTTCTCAGAACGACTAACAAGAACTACAGAAGATCTGGTAACGAAAGATGAGATCTACCGGATATTCGAGGGCAAGTCAGATCCTGAGCTGGTCATAACCTTGCTGCAAAAATTCCAGCTCTGTCATTCCTACAACGGCAAGGAATTCATCTTCCCATGCCTCCTGACGCAAGTAAGCTATCTGCCAATCACTCTGATATTCAAATCAGCTATCTGCCAATCACTCTGATATTCAAATCAGCTCTCAATATCGCTTATCTAAACAATGATGCAATGAGGTTGAGTAAGAGAAACCCTCTCGAAAACCTTCATAACCATGTAGGAAAAACAAATTACTATCATGTGGTACACATATATAGTTTTCAGAATAATGCCGACTTACTATGTTCTTCGAAAGTATGAATCAACAGTCACATTAGTTGTTGTCAGACATCAGACATAAAGGTCTCATCTTACTGAAATTGCTTTTCTTCAAAGGAAATGCCCAAAGACGCGTGGGTACCAACTGGAGAGCCACTGGCACTATACTTCGGCAAAGGCTGGCGCTGCAGAGACCTGACTGACATGTTCTCCTCGGACTTCTTCCCGCGAGTGCAGACACTTCTCATGACAAAGATGTCCAATCGCCCGATACTGTGGAAGGGTGGAGCGAAGTGCTTTGACAGGTAATGATAGCAATCACTATGTATGCTTGGTTCGAGCTTACACAGTTCAAAGTTCACATCTAGCTCGTGTAAGTGCCTTTTATTTTCTATTGAAGTGATATTCCACTTTTTTTTCAGTGACGTCGAAGCTCTTGTCCAGATGTCTAGCGAAGGGCGGACGGTCTACATCTGTACCCGTAGTGTTGAGGGTGACAGAGAACAGTGTCACCACATGATGCGTATCCTGGAGGAGTTAGTGGTAGGAGTTCTGCAGGAGAGCAGCCCGGGAACAGATACTACTCAGCTCATCCTCAGTGCACGGGCACTGAAGGAACACAGAGACAACCTTCTCAACCATGCCTATACGCTGGAGGAAGTCAAAGTGGCCAGAGCTGAAAATGGCGTACTGGTGAATCGTGCAGGTGGGTACTCGGAGAGGGTACTTGACGTAATGTGTAAGACAAGTAAACACAGGTCTCCATCACATGGCAGTGATCCTATGAAAATACCAAGATCTAGAGCTGACTGGGACTGGGATCTAAGAGGAATCTCACTGACGAGCAGCCAATCCGGGTCTCCCACCCACAGCATCGGAGTGGCGGGAAGAGACAACGTGGTGGTAATTGCCGGACCAGGCGCTTCTGTCAGCGTATCGGGTACAGGCGCCGCTGACGTCAGCGTGTCCAGTGTTGACGAGAGTGATGCAGGCTCGCAATACTGGCAGGATGAAGTATTCACGGCATTGACAACGGATATGCAATGTTCCGACGATCAAGAGCGATCTGCTGAACCGATGTCACCAACTCTACAGAGTACTGTGATTGAAGGCCACGCTAATACAGTGGTAAAGGCGGATGACGGGTCGGTGGTCAGTGTAAGAACATCAGGGGATGGACAGGACACGACAGCTAGTGAAAGCAAGGACGTTGTTGATCTATTGGACCCAATGAGTATTGAGCTGGATTAACTTCTGGTTTGGAACACGGCTGTTCGACAATTTGTCAACTGAGGTGGCTAGATAACAAATCGAGACCAGAATGATCTTGAAAAGTAACGTGTTTAATTGAGTTTATTGACCACTTTAAAATATCAAGTGTAAAAAAGATTATGAGGTAGTGTTGGTTCTTTAGTATTAGTCAAGTAAGGCAGTTATTGTGACAAAGCAGAAAACAATTAATAAAAACTTAATTAGTCATAGCTTTAGTGAAGTTGGTAGTATCAACAATTAATATTGTTATATTAAGCTGACAGTAGTATCATCCATCCCTAAATTTCTGTTTCTAAATGTAAACAACGATCTTATTTCTTGCCCATTTAAATTATTAGAGTGTTAGTATTCACAGTTGTACACAGCAATGTATTTGGAGCCTCTGCAAAGTCCCTAACTAATCCCCTGCTACCAAAGCAGTGTAATGGCAACTTTCATTAAAAAAACGTTTTTGAAAAATTACACTAAACCAAGGACCACTTACTCATTGTGTGCCTGATGAATGATAATGTGTGCTAAATGTATTTTCTTACTAGCATGAGTGCAATGACAAAAACATGCAGTGGAGCATTTTATCACATGAACTTTTCTTATCTTGAATTCATCATGGTGTAGACATATAGACTTAGAGGATTTAGAAGTTAATAATGCATACTATAATGAATATAATAGAAGATAATATCTAACAAAAGCTGTCACCACTTCTGAAAGTCCATTGCATCCTCACTATCATATGGTCTTTCTCTTTAAATGGGCATGCAGAAACAATGAGAGAGGCTATCATCTATGGCGAGTTACAACCATAAAACGGAGGTTATCTGTAGCACATCTACGCCATCAAAGCATACGACTGAACAAGTACACACTAGCCTTTTTTTAGCTATTTGACACCCAATTACTCAGGCATGCACTATGCCTGACATCTATACAAACAGTGTGTTTTGCCATGTGTACAAAATGTAAGTCCAGGTGTGCTTTTCTCAGAGCTGCATACTCACACTTGTGGGATTTTTTCTCCTGTATGCCTCTTCATATGTACGGATAGGTTGGACCAGAAAGCCGTTCTGAAGCCACACTCTCCACACATGTAGGGTTTCTCACCAGTGTGTTTAAGCATGTGCTTGTCCAAGTTACCTTTGTACACTGTAGCATACTCACATTGGTCACATTTGTATGGCTTCTCTTTACTATGTATCTTTACATGTATTGACAGGCTTACTAAAGTGAATGTTGTATATCCACATGTTTCACACTGATAGGGTTTCTTCGAAC